ATAAGGACACCAATCTTGAAAATCTATCACTGTTGGCTGACATTCACTTGCTTGATGGTGAGAAATAAAATGAATAAGATAATAGATCAAATAGCATCTATTTTCCATCAAAATACAAAAATATGTAACAACTTTTTCTCCCCTGCCTGTATTTGCTTATTTTCTTCATTCTTGATGCTCCGCCATTTGGGCCTTGGTCCTGGAGAGAGGGCCCTCCTAGGACTACACAGTTTCTGGAGAGAGCCCATACCCCCAGCCCGCCTTTCAATGCTCTCACGCGCCAAACCAACACCCCCCTTGCCGCACATCACCCCAAGGCCAGATACTGGACAACTAGGACTGCCACTATAGCCTAGGCCTGCCCAAATTTTTCAAACTACCCGATCCTAAGCTTACTCCCCGTGCCGGCTGCTCACCCGTTTCTTCCCGTGGAAACCCCAGTAAAGACTCTGGGCCACACTCCCTTTGCTCCTGCTTCTCCTTTCTGACTCCGACTGGTGCTTCCCCACGGCCCCGCATGGTGTGGGGTAGCCCCTTCTCCTGGGAAATGTAAGTAATAAATTATCCTTCCAAAGGTGGGTGTTTCCATTTCTGTCACCTTACCATATCTGAGTAAAACAAATCCTGGGGGCAGGGACGCCTGGGTGGCTCCGTCGGTGAAGCGTCTGCCTTCGGCTCAGCTCATGATCCCGGGGTCCTGGGATCGAGCCCCAGGTTGGGCTCCCTGCTCGGCGGGAAGCCTGCTTCTCCCTCTCCCTCTGCCTCTCCCCCTGCTTGTGCTCGCCCTCTCAAATAGATAAATAAAATCTTTTAAAAAAATCCTGGGTATGCATTTTAGAGTAAAGATGCTATGCTTTGATGATGGAGGAAGGGATCATGAGCACAGGACTGCAAAGAACACAGCTCCAGAAGACAGAGAAGGCCAGCGGCAGGCCTCTGCAGGGAGCATGTCCTGTCCACACCGTGAGCACCTGCAGGGGCCTCTGCTGTCTTAGATCAGGACTGTGGAGCCCGAGGAGCAGAGACCCTGCGGCCTGGCCAAAGACAGACACAGCAGGTCCACTCAATGGCACAGACTCACACGGGGCCTTGGTCATATGATCAGACGGTTTTGTAAACTTTGCTGAAGGAGGATACTAGGACCACAGCGATTCCCACACTGCCTCAAACTCCTTCTGTCACATTTCCCCTCTTGCTGGGGTGGTTCTGGGGAGGTGGGGGGGCCTTTTCAGGATCGGGCCAAGGGGAAGCTGAGTGGTAGAAACACCAGCTGGGGTTTAATGGACTATATTCATGTTGTCCCCAGTCACTTCCTCGCAAAGTTCATGCCAGACAGCCTGGCACAGAAAACAGCTTCCAGGAACTGCCATGGCCATTAGCCAGAAGGAGTGAATCACACGGACTTTTGGAATGGGATTAAACATTCTGCTGATTTAACAGGAAATGCTGACATCAACAAGATAATGGAGAACCCTCACAGCCAGTGTGACAAGGACGTGACGGAAGAGGTTCATGAGATCCGTGCGGGCATTTGAGATTAGTCACGGCACGAGAAAATGCAGTATCCCAGACTTCCCAGCTTATAAATGAAACAACTCGTCAAAGTTCTCTCCAAACCTGACAGCAGTCTTGACAGGATAGGAGTTGTGAGTACTGAGTGGTCAAGCGAGGACTTTGGTGAACTAGTAGTCACGATGTTGTTTTCAATCAACCTTGTTAGAGACACTAAGTTCTTCTCTTTTCCCCCTGAAAGTAATGTTGAAAAATTGTTATAAGAAGAGACAATAAAAAACGTAGATGAAAAATGTATCCTAGTGGAGTACCATGCAGTTATGAATAAGAATTGTGGTATTTTCTTGATTTTGTGATGTTTATGCTATTAGTCAATTTTTGAAAAGATGATTTCTTATCTCATTCTGAATACATGTGTTTCTAATTCTATGATGACTTACATTCTTTCTTGAAGAGAGAGGCTGCGGGTCCCTGTGATGGGACCCTGCCTCACCCACACCACCAAGGCAGGCCTGGCGGCCTCGGGAGATGGAAATGGGAAACCAGGAGCATTTCCATGACCTCAGGGCAGGCAGGTGCCTGGACAGGACACAAAGGCCCTCCCCAGAAAGGAAAGGCTGATCAGTTGGATGAGGTGAAAACTTAGGAAGGCCTGTTCACCCAGAGCCACACTGAGAGCAACAGGACCATCCTGGTGTGGAGGAGGCCGTGCTGACGCAGGAAACTTCAATATTCATGGATCCTGGAATTGCGAATTCACCTGCTCACTGAAACTTGTTTGTGAGCCCACAGTCAACACTCCCAGCACGTCCGTGGTCGTTCGGGGATGTGCCCAGAGCAGCGAAGACGGAGCGTGGCCCGAAGTCCCCGGCGGAGACAGGAGGAGGCGACGCCCTGCCTTCTCGGTTCAGCTCGCCCTGGAAACAAGTGTCCTTTCCGTTGTCGATCTAGTGCCACATGTCCCGCATTTTCGTGCTTTTGGCTGGTGACTCCGTTGTTTATAACGACCCCCCAGCACGGTCCTGAGGTCCCGCCCAGGGCTCCAAGTGCCAGAGGCCGTGATGGGCCTGCAGACAAAACCGCGTGCTGGGTGGGTTTTGTTGAGGCGTGAGGTTCGGTGATGCTGGCCAGATGGGTCCTTGATGACTCAACCGTATAGTCGATGAGGTGCCTTTAAACAGAAGCCACACGACACACGGTTCTGTGTTGATCCGTTGATGAAAACGTGCCCAGAGCCTCCCAGGAAGCTGACCCTGCATTTCCCCAGGAGCCCTGGTTGTGTGTTCGCGGACCCCGCAGTCCTGCGTTCACGGTTCCAGAGCATGGCAGCCGCGGACGGCGAGAATGGACTGTAGTTCACAAAATAATCATCTCCAGAGTATGTAAATAAGTACAAAGCAATAAGGAAAAGTTGCTCAATAGAAAAATGATCAAGACACTTAACAAACAGGGCCTTACAAAAGAGCTGCAGAGGGCAGGTGGATCCGTGATAAGGATCTGGCGACTTCCTCACCGCCAAAGGACAGAAGTGAAAACCACACCAAAACCTACCAGAAAAGCTGAAATTGTGAGACCGTGGTTGTCACAAACGCGCAGCAGAGGAAAATCTCCTACGTTGCTAGTGGACGTACACATTAGTATTTTGGTGTGGGTTTATTTTTCTTCAGGATTCTCTTCTAGAGGTGCACAAGCCTGTCCTGTGGCCCAGCAAGGGTCCTCCAGTGGACGTGTGTATACACGGACCAGAGCTCCTGGAGACATCTTTCCTAACAGCCCAAGTCAGGCACCAATGCACAAGTCCGTTCACAGGAGAAAGAATAAACCGTGGTGCGTCCACGTTGGGGCAGATGCCGACGCGCACTGAATGTGCACCAGCGGGAAAGAGACCCATCTGTGGTGCTCAGAACAAGACATGGGGCGTCGGAAGCCACTCGCCAAATGATGCACAGCTGGCCTGTTTCTGTGCGAGTCTGACAGATGGGGGTGCCCGTAACAAAGGACCACAAACTGAGGGGCTTGAACAACAGGCGTTGGTTCTTTCACTGATTCATATGTTGAAACTCTAACCCCATGGATAGTATTTGGAGGTGGGGCATTTGAGGGTCAAGAGCATGGGACGGGGTTAGTGCCCTTATGAAAAGAGACACCAGATGGCTTGTCCTCTCTGTCTCTCTCTTGCTGTGTGAGGAGCCAAGCGAGAAGGCCCCTGTCTGCAAATCAGGATGAGGCCCCCACCAGAACATGACCATGCGCCACCCCGATCTCAAACTTCCAGCCTCCGGAACCGTGAGAAGTAAATGTTGGTCAAGCCCCCCAGCCTGTGGTGTTGTGTTAGGGCGCCTGAGCTTATGGAGACCCTGAGAGAAAAGAAGGCGAGAGGGACAGCCTGTAGACCCAAAGCTCTCTGCAGGAGCATGGGCGCAGAGCGGGCCACCCAGATCCTCGAGAAGAGCCGTGCTCCAGGCAGATGTGTTCAGTGTCAGCTAGAAGCTGCTAACTATTTTGGAAGGTGTCCCAAGAAGTTCTCGGGAAGGTTTGATGGCAGTGTGTCTGCATTTCTGTTGGCATGCCGCATCAGAGAGCAGTTCCGTTTCTGCAGAAATGCACACAGGATACCCCTTCTCCAGGTGTTTCCCCTGCCCCCCACTTTCTCACGCACGGAGAGATACGTCCTTTGGTCCTGTTTCCTAAGAAGTCAGCTATGGTTTGCATGGTGCGGAGTGCTCTTCCATAGAAACCTGTGCCTTCTCAGGCTCCATGGCTAGATTATAACCCTGCTAGGGCCAGGAGGCAGGTCGGACCTGGGGCCTGGCCCCCACCTGTGACTTGTGACCTGGCTGAGGGCAGGCTCGGGGAGCTGGGTGGGTTGAAGCCAGAATGGGGGTGCTGAGGAAACAAGGGGAGAGGAGTGGCCCCAGGGCCTTTGCACCCTCTGTTTCCCCTTGCTTGGCTGTTTTCCTGCTGCCCACGGCCCAGCTCCTCCTGGGCACTCAGGCCTGACTCTCTCCATCCACAGCGGCACCAAGACATTAAGTGGCATTTCCAGGCTTGTTTATTTTTCAGTTTGTTGTCTGTCAGCCCCAGAACTCAGCTCCAGGAGTGCAGACATGCCAGCCCAGTGCTCTGGGTGCGCAGTGAACAGTTTCTGGACAATGAAGAACCCTCCTGGGAGTGAGGGCGAGAGTCCTCCTGCCTTCTCAGGACCCTGTCTCTGGCACTGCCCCCTCTCTCTCTCCCTCTGCTGTCCACACCTGGAATCCCCCCTCAGCAAAATAAGGCATTGTAACCCTCCCTGTCTCTCCCTCCACAGGCCCTCCCAGCAGGCCCAGCACACTTCCAGGCTTTGCCTTGCCGCCTTCGGGGTCATTACGCACCCCCACCCTGGACATTATTCCCCCCTGGCTGCATCCTCCACCCTGTTTTTCTCCTCCTCTGGGACCCTGGGGCTCTACCCTTCCCCGCACCCACGGGAGCCGACCCCTTCCTGCAGCCCCCGCTTTTCCCTTCTGGGTCCCCCAAGAAGTCCCTTGGCCCACGATGCCCATTTCGGCCACTGGCATTGATTGCAGCCTGCGCTGAGGCCCACAGAAGTAGGGACCCTGGAGTGATTTCTGGCAGGCTGTGGGGTCAGGGTGACCTTCGTGGACACGTCCCCTACCCCCCCCCCCAGTGCCGCCTGGACAAAACAAAGGTGTGCGTGCTGGCGTCGGCCCTTTGTAGAGCCAGACATCTCAGCAGGGCTGGCTGGCGGGCAGAACTCACTGCCTTCCCCAGGGGTGCGGTGGGGGCCGGTCTTTCCTAGCAGGGAGGGGTCGAGGAGGACCTGGGGAGCGTCGCGACAGGCCAGCCCCCGACGGGAACACAAGGCCACGACCCGGAGGGAGGGACGCTGGACCCTCGGGCTTCCCACAGAGAGCTGATGGGAGAGGGCACCATCTGCGAACACGCGGGGCAGCAACGTCGGCGTGGGGAGGGAGAACTCCCTGCTACCGCTGACCCGGACCCTCATGACTTCCTCATCCGTGGTGAGGACAGGGGCCGGCTTTGCGGGTATTCGGGGCAGGGCAGGGCCCACGCGCGCGAAGACAGCGCACCCGGCCTTCTACGCACGGCCGGGGGCCTGAAGGGGAGGCGGGCCTTGGTTCCCGACTCCGCCCCGGGCCCCTGGGATGTGCCGCATGCTCGCAGGGCCTCCCCGCGCAACCACGAACCACCCGCGGGATCGGCGTGTCGCGTGGGAGGTGTCCGTCTGCGCAGGCGCGGGTCTGGGCGCCGCAGGTGCAAACGCCTTGCGCCGGCGTCGGCGGGAAGCTGCGTGCGGGGAGCCCGGTCCCGATTCCCGGCGCAGGCTGTCGGCCGGACGCCAGACCCACCCCCCTGCCCTCCAGACCTCCCCAAGCGGCACCCC